CGGAAACGTATCGATCATCGGCATATTCTCTCCTATAGACAGCAGTTCCAGGAACAGTGGTGCTCGCTGCACGTTGTGATGAAAAGCCTACTGTGTCATAGCCTATCGGCAGTCGATCATCTCGCTCTTGACGATTATGCACAGGCACAGGTTCTGGGGGATAGAGGCCCGGGTGAGGGTCGTAACGAACTTCCTCGTACACAGGTTCATCTGGTTGTTGCTGAGCGTACCTTTGACGTTTATTGGGACGAATATAGGAAGGGGCATTCATAGGGGAGGGAGATCTAGGTTCAGCCTTGATATAAGGCGTTGGTTCAGTCTCGGGCGCTTGCCTGTCAGCCTTTCTCTTTTTCTTCTTTGCTTTCCGCCTATCCGATGCACCGCCTTGAGGCGAGCTCTCAGGACTAGTGACAGCGACTGGCTCATTCCTGAGAGCAGCAACTTGAGCGGGAGTACCGGTGGAAGAAGTCGACGTCGCTTCGGCAGCCCGAGGTCGTGGCCTAGTATTTATTAATGGCGAAGTCTCCACATTCTGATGCGATCTCTCATGTGCTCTGATCAGAGGAGAAGGGGGACGGCTGTCAATATAGTGTTCACGGGGAGGCTGTCGAGAGGCTGATCCGTAATCAACTCTACGCCTATCGCTCTCCCCATTACTGGGACTTTGCCTGGCACTTCTATCCTGCCTAGGTGCTGTCTTGTCTGCATTATAAGTAGCAAGGCCAGGGACCTGGACAGGTCGTGAAGTGCTGTTAACGCTCACCGAACCGACGAAAGGGTCTGGGTTTGCGTAGACTTCTTGGGGTCTAGTGTGGCTCGGTGCGTACGGCCCCGGAGGGACTTGCTCAAAACCAATCGGAGGTTGTCGCGGAATAGGAGCGGTATGGCTATTTATCTTTGGTTGCGACTCCGCGACGGGTACTTGTGCCTCTTGGGACTCGTTACGGACTCTGGAAGTCAAAACGGAGGATGGAGTGTTGTGCTGCGACGAGTAGAAAGTGTTGTCATCGAAGGAATCACTTGCATTGTCAATGTTAGTAGCATCAGCAGCAGCAGCGGCAGCAGTAGTATCGGGACCAGCATTGCTTTCCACAAGCGTCAAGGCTTTCGTCAAGACCTCGTTAAGATCGAATTCAACGACAGGCTCCCCTTGCGCCACGCTCTTAGCAATTACTCGTCTCTGATCAACTTCGTCTCTCAGAGCACGTTCCAGCCTCTGTCTCTGCAACTTCAACTCTGCTTTGACCAGATCCTCAGATTTCTCTAGGAAGATAGGGTTGATCTCAGTAGATCCTGACCCATATGGCTTGCTGTTATTGTTGTTGGTGGTGGTAGCAGACACATCTGCTTGCTTTTCGTTCGCGATGGTTTGCCCATGAGCGTCTGTCTGATAACTCGGCGTTCCATCTTGCATGGAAATATCTATCGGATGGATGGAAGTTTGTGTGGGAGGGATAAAGTTAGAAGGGACCTTGATAGTCGGATGTTTACCGGAGAGAACAGTTGTAGAGAAGCGTACAATCTTCTCATACTGCTCGATCTGATGACGCTCCTTCTCAGCAAGACCAGCAAGCTCATTCCTACTAGCAAGATGCCCCTGAACGACAATATCTTGTGCCATGATGGCGGCGAGTGAAATGTACACGTCGCGTCACCAGGCGACACCAGATTAAGTTGGGAAAAAAAGGGAGCAAGCAAGCAATAAGACCAACTCCAAGCAAGCTAGCTCAACGAAAATGTTGGGTAATGAACCCGACGGACAACGCCACTCTTGACGCGATATGACGCGGACCAAAGAGCTACTACTGATCAAAATGTAAATGCGCTGTTTCGGCTGTTGTTCAAGAAATGGAAGCTTTGATGTTGGAGGTCTGTGCAATTAATGGAGTGGTTTTTAGAGCCACAGACGCCTCGACTCGGGTGGACGCGAAAGGCAAACAATTTAGGCGGTGTAAGCGGCAGAATTCTTTCACTACAGCGTCTTGAGAATTACCTATACCTTGACTGTTGAAGTAACTCATATCAGGCTAGATTAATCTTCAATGAGTGAAATATCTTTTTTATTTTCTCTACAACTACCTAACTAATATTGGAATTGCTTCGTTGAATCCATTACAACCCTGGCTTGTGCGGCATTGGGTTGAATGAATGTCATGTGTTAGTGTCATAGCTCTTACACGACCTGTCCCTTGAGCCTCAATATCGAGAACACGACACTTGTGGTCATACAAATTCAATCCTTGAAGATGCCAAGTACTAATATCCTTGCCTTCAGTAAGTTGGACTAGTCTAAAGCCCCTCTATTTATCGTCTTGTCCTGTCATTTAGTCCCCGAACCATGAGGCTCAAGATGAACTCTCTGTAGGTAAGCATGGATCATGTAATCACTATAGTATTACTCGTGGCTCGACAGCCTCCTTTAGGCCCCTGGAGCTTCTCATGCCATGATGATCTAGGAGTTCGAGTCTTATGACCTATTCACATGTGTTTTTAAATGAAGATTCAATCAAACAAAGGGGTTGTCTCCTATGAAATTCCTTGAATGTTCGCTCAACAACAACTCTATGTTACCAAAAGCAACTAGTGACAGAGACAGTCCCGCGATCGGAGACCGGAAGACGATCCGCGCTGAACTTTGCTCATTATTCAGCCACACCGCAAGAGTCATTGGGTGAAACGTAGCGCATCGACGGACGGATACCGACGATATCCTCCGGATACTGCAGAGTTGATCCAAGGAAGCGATTGATTGCTTACTAGCCTTGCGTTTTTTGGCCCAGATCGCCATTCCCTATAAAATTCTATTTAAACCGTCTCTCTCCTCCTCATAGCCATTCAATGTACCAATTACGACCACGTGTTAACGCAATATCATCATTGAAGCGCTTCTCAAAACCTTTAGTTGCCTCCTCTTTATTGCTCAACTCAAATCTCACACCTCGCTATCCTTACTTTACCACCAACAACAACCCCAGCCTCAATATTCAGACTCATACCAAATTCACCATGGGCAGCACTCAGGACATGAACCCGGGAAAGCCGGTCCTATTCTTGTTAGTCTTTTTGAAATATACTTCTCATCGGCTTTGAGCTAACTTTTTATGCAGTGATATTGACAACTGTCTCTATCCAAGGAGTAAGCTTACACTGAAATTAGTGTTTATGACTGCTTGAAACTAACAGTGAATGAAGGCACAAAAGTCCATGACATAATGGCTAAACTCATTGATGAGTACTTCTCCAAGCACCTGGAGATCCCTTGGGATGAAGCTGTGAAACTACACAAAGAGTATTACACCAACTATGGCCTCGCTATTGAGGGGTTGGTGCGCCATCACCAAATCGATCCCCTGGATTATAACGCCAAAGTGGACGATGCTTTACCCCTCGAAGAAATCATCAAGCCCAACCCTGAGCTACGTGAACTCCTGGAGGACATCGACAAGTCCAAGGTTACTGTGTGGCTTTTCACCAACGCCTATGTGAACCACGGGAAGAAGGTTGTTCGCCTCTTGGGCATCGAGGATATCTTCGATGGTCTCACATACTGCAACTATGCGGAACAACCGTTACTCTGCAAGCCGGACCCCCGCATGTACGAGAAGGCCATGCGCGAAGCAGGCGTCGACCGTGTGGAGGATTGTTACTTTGTTGGTAAGTTCCCCCGCGCTGTTACTCATACCTCCATCTGACCCCTTCTAGATGATTCTGCCCTGAACTGCACAGAAGCCAAAAAATTTGGTTGGACAGCAGCCCATCTCGTTGAGGAGGGAGTGCCAGCTCCCAAAACCCCTGCTTCGCAATACCAAATCCAGCATCTGCGAGAGCTACGGAATGTCTACCCGCAGTTCTTCAAATCTACTTCAAGCAAGGCATAGTTTATGACATTTGAGGTTGGTTACGAAATAGAAGGGATTGTATGACATATGATAGAGTTTTTAGACGGTGGCGTTCAAGGCGCTCACTCGGCTGAGATACCTTTGTATTTTGGGGTTTCAACAAAAAATAATAAAATGCTCCTTTGCATGGGCTGCCAGCCTTTAGTTTGGTTATTCGCACCCTGAACTCCGCGCTGCGCATCAATAAACTTGTCAAAAACAGACCGAACCCGTAATTATGGTCGTCGTATGCTGCGAATAACACTGTCAAGCTCAGACAAAATCTGATCTTTCTCCTTGATTGCTTCTTGGCGTTGGGCTTCAGCAATCTTCAAATCCTCCTCCAGCTCTTTAATGTACCTCTCCTGATCCATCTCACTGTTGTCTAAGCCGGGGAGAGATGAGATGAGGACCTCGATTTGTTGCTCTTTGACAATGAGATCCTGTGACAACTCTACCATACCAGCTCGAAACTCATCTGGAGGAAGTGAATCAACTGAGGGAAGTTAGCATATCTCCCTTCGAATGGATCATGCATTTGGACATGCCTTCTTTTGGAGCATCTTTCACTTCGCGAACTTTGTCATTAGGACCAAGTGTTTCAAGGTCATGTCGCTTGTTGACATAGTGAAGGCATGCAACGAACTGTGTGGCCAGCTGTAGAATTTATTAGCGGAAGAATTTTATGAGGTGTAAACAGGACGCACCTGGTCTACAGCATCTTGCAGCTGGGTTAATCGATCACCCATGATGTTGGCTGTAAATTCTCAAACAAAGCAACTCTGATGATTTACAGCTTCAAGGCTCATTCACACCTCAATCTCACAGCTGGCTTAGCTGTCACGTGGAGATGTGCGGGCGGTCGGGCAATCAACAATCCGCCCCAGAAATTCTGGAGCTCAGTGATGGAAGGAAGTGAACACCGTTGTCTCTGGGCGAGCTATGACATGATTGGCACGGCATGGTCCAAGTGGCAGCAACGCCATGTTCACTCTTTCTTAAACCTGTCAAGTCCACATCTTTTACTTCGCCTTCGTGCGCTTCTGTCTCTCTCAACCAATTCTTTAGCCCGATAGACTTCTTCTCTACACTCTTTTTCACATTGACTTTTTCCAGTAAAACATGTCTGAGCAACCTCCCCAGCCAGGCCCCCAGCCTGGGCAGATTCCCATGCCGCAACCTGGGCAGCGACCTACACCCGAGCAGATTCAGGCAATGCAGCGCCAACTCGCCATCGATGCTGAGAAGAACGGCATGACTGTCCCTGAATTTATCGAGCACATCAAGAGACAAGCGCAAGAGCAAATGAGAATGCGCGCACAACAGCAACAGCAAGGTCATGATCACGACCACGACCACGACCACAACGGTCATTCTCATGATCATGGTCAACCTCCCCAGCAGGGTCGCGCCCAGCCTATTACGCCGGGACCCCCAAACCCCAAGGCCATTGCTCTTGCCTCGTTTCTTCGAGGCCAGGATCTCAAGCCCAGGACCGTGATTCTCAACGGCGAGCGAAAGGACATGTTTCGAGGTAGGCCACATAGCACCAATCTCTTCCAAATCAGAAGCTGACAGAACCTAGTCAAGCGAGCCCTCCGAGCTCTTCAGTCCCCCGCATATGAGAAGGCCCGCAAGAAGAACCCTCTTCTCCCCGAGATCACCGACAGAGCTTCTCTCGAGAACACATTCAAGTTGTTGCCCCTGAGCATGCTTGCTCTCCGAGTTTCCAAGGTCGAACCGCAGGCAGGCCCTAACGGAAAGAAGCCCAAGCGTGTCAAGGGACAGTGGACTGTCAAGATTGAGCAGCAACAAGAGGCAAAGGAAGACATGTACTACTGCTGGCTGTGGGAAGGTAGCCAGCTCAAGCGCAAGATCTACGCCGGTCTCGCACTCCTTGCTATCTTCGCTATCGTCTTGTACCCTCTGTGGCCTCTGGTGCTGCGCCAGGGTGTCTACTACCTCAGTTGGGGACTCCTTGGACTGCTCGGACTGTTCTTCCTGATGGCCATCTTCCGAGTTATCCTGTTCTGTATCACCTACTTCACAACACCACCTGGACTATGGCTATTCCCCAACTTGTGGGAGGACGTTTCTTTCATGGACAGTTTCAGACCCGTTTGGGCTTGGCACGAGGTTAGTCGACTATGCTACGAGAGAATGAAACAAATCACTAACAACACGTACAGACCGAGAAGAAGAAGAAAAAGAAGAAGTCTGCTGCCCCTGGTACCACCCCCAACCCCGCCTTCGCAGCCGCTACTGGTCAAGTTAACACAAGTGCGACTACAACTGGCACGGATACTCAGGTCAAGACTGGTGGTGTGCAGCAGCGACACTACGAGGCCCCACGAGTTGAAGAGCTCGATGACGACGAGTAGATGGCATCTAAAAGTGACCTTGAGTGATGGCGTTTTTGGGAGTTGTAATAGTATCGTGGATCTACCGTGTAGTGTGGAAAGCAATCAAAGCGGTTTCTTTTTTGTACGAGATTTTCCCAAATTTATACAGGCATGTACAATGTCAATTTTGTCGTGAAATGATCATATTTTGGATGGATATCTAGAAAACAAACCGAAGCACCCCGCCAGCCACAGTCCATGATAAGAACAGCAATATCGAGTCGCCTCGTTTTCCTCCGATGAAGGGAATTTTCTACAGCACTTTTAAAAGGTCGATCCTTGTCAATGACAAGAGCTCGATACACCTGACCCCTCCATTATAGCTCCTCAGGGCTGCAACGTCAGATGTTTCCAAAAGAAGGTACCGCCCTTGAGTTCTCCATTTGGACTTAGACCATATTTTGGGATCTGGCCAAGCTCGACATAACCAAGCTTTTTATACACCTCCTCTGCTGGGCTTCCGGTCTCTGTGTCGAGAAGCTAAGCAGTTGTTAGTTACCGGGACTTAGATGCCGAAGAGAGCTAACGTTAGTATAGTTACGATGGACATTGAACTTACCAGAATAGTTCGACCACGCTTGGTGGCTTCAGCTTCGAGAGCAGAAATCAAAGTCCTGGCACCTCCTCGACCGCGAAAAGCTTTGTGGACGAGGAGTTTTTCAACGACACCGCGGAACGGGCCAGTTTCTGAAGAGGGCATGTTTAACATGACAACGCCCACCACATCGGCGCCGTTCGGCCGAGCTCCGGGTTCACAGTCGTTCAGGAGAATGAAGATGAGCCGTTTGCCGTCTGCCACCTCTGCAATCCGCTCTTTCCACCAAGCGAGGAGTTTCTCGTGAGATAGGGGCGGGAGGAATTCTGCGATAGTGCGATCATGAGTGATACAGGAGGCGTGAATGGCTGCAAGATAGGGTATCAGGTGCCCATGCTGCCCTGGCGAGAAGAGAGCCACTGTTCCTGAAGCTGTCATGTTGAGAATATCTTGTTGATTGGACGAGCTTATGTCGAGAGTCTTGAGTTTAAGTGGTTCCAAGAGAGTAAGTTGTGTCTCAGTGTACAATGCTTCTTTGTCGTATGAGCATCTGCAGGACTGGAGACCATGTATCCAACCGCAATGGGATATTTGAATTGATCAGTGAAATATCGGTCAACGCTGGTGTAGAAATTCTGTACAAGATTTATCAGAGGCTTGACTTATTAGGCAACTCGATGAGGGGAGATAACTTATGGGTTATCCGATTTAGGAGCTCCAACCCGGTGCAAGCTAGCAGTAGTAGACTTACTTGAAGAGTTTAAACTTGGGCTGATGCACAAGTAAGCAGTTGAAGGTTCAGAAGATGTAAGAATTGCAAGATAAAGTGTTGAGAAAAAGAGGTCGGGGAATTTCGGCTTAGGGAGTTAAAAGGCCATGGATGTTGAAGAGACCTGAGCATCAAAACGTGACTGATTACCTGCCTTGTCTCTCCTAAGAGGTTAGGTTACTACAGTATTTAAGATGAGGTCTGTCTCTCCTCTCCTCTCCGTTCCGTGTGAGAGTGATTCAGTGAGCCAGAAAAAAAGTCGCCTTCTCCCCTGCAGCCACTTGCAAGCTAAGACTAAGGTAACGCTGGGCTCGTGGATGCAAGGTTGTTGGGTTACAAGGTGCCCGGTGCCCTAGCAAAGATGGAAGTTTTCCAGGTTCCAGTTCCTGAGATGGTCCCCTCCATCAGCCCGTGGAGTTGCCCTGTAGTTACCGTCCCGGCGGGTAATTGCAGCGGCCCTGGAGGTGCTGGACGGTAAGTGGGCTGTGTGTCCAGTGGATTCTAGCGTATAAGTTTGACGGCTCCGCAACCCATCCATCAATCAAGTCAACCCTCCCCGGTCGATTTAGTTAGACAGCCAAGTTGGCTCTTTTACACCCTCAGAACGACACTGGATTGGATCGAATCCTTTCACTCTCTGCGGGAGCAATCGTGAAGAGGTTGCACGCCACGGTTGCCACAGATTGTCGGAATAAAATGGCGCATAGACAAATCTGGCAGTTGAGAATTGCCTTTGCTTTTGTCTTTGCCGGTCGGTGGCTGGCTTCAAAGCAGGTTGAGTTGACCGACCATCAAGGCTAACCAAGAGTTGAGGCCTGAGAGCTAGCGAATTCATGGATGGGTTGATGAAACGAGACGGGACGGGACGGATGGGGAACGGGAACTCTTCATACTGTCTGTCCACTAACTACTAAGGTACTGTATGTTCCTTGCAACTCCGTGGATAACATCGTGACAAAGTCCACTCTATCAGCTCATCCTTCGGTGTTCAGACACCGAGTCATGGACACCTGTAGCTGATCCAGGACAATCACATTGTTAATCTCGGTTGCCGAAAACAGGCTGAGCGGTCCATATCACCGTTGATATCATGATCAGTTGACTGAATTCATACCAGTTATTAGAGTCCAATACAAGGAAGCATAACAGGCTATCACGGCTATTTATCTTTTGGATGAGTTGTTGCAGGCCAAGAGGTTTCATCGGGTTTAAGCAGCAGTTCACACGAGCCTTATACATAGAACTGGACATGCGAGTTCGGTAGATTTTTTAGTTACTTGTCCCAATGGGTTGCCCTGCATTAGAGTCTTTTACCGGGGTTTGGTTTCGGCAGTCAAAGCTGTCAGTCTTGTAGGATGCTGTTTAGCGTGGATCAGCCTGAAGCAGTGTTTGGAAGAGACATGAAACGAGAGTGATTGTCCCCGTATAAATGCTCTGTGATTCACGTTTGTTTGTTGTGAGTGGTGTATTTGCTGGCTGACTCTCTGAGTGAGTGTCATGTCTTGTCTGTTTCTGTGTATAACCCCGCAGCTTGATGAATGTTCCAATGAGAATACGAAGCTTCCCTATTTGTCTAGAGCAATCAAGTCGATAACGCAACCCTGATGATGTACCTATTTACGGCATCTCTCATTCATTGGCTCTCCGCATTCCGTGGCCATCATCGGCGTCATCAGCTCCCCACTTGAGCTTCCAAGCTCAGCTGTCTTCTTACAGTCCGTCAGCTTATCACTGTCGTGTGAGTTAAAAAACAACTCATGATCTCACTTAAAATCTACTACTTCTTGGCTACGTTGGTTCATTCTTGACATATTCTTGGTACAACTATTTTGAACGTCTCTATCCGTCTTCCGCTTGAGCCTCACCGCCAAGACCTTGGCTCGTTGAGGTATTAGTCCTCATCCTCGTCTTCCGACATGGATTTCCTTAAGAAGGTCGGCGAGCACGTCGAGAGCGTTTTGAACAAGAAGGACGATGATGACAAGCATGGTTCTCAATCACAATCTCACAGCGGACAGAGTCAGCAGTCCCATGGACAAGATTATGGCTATAGTCAGTCTCAGTCTCAAGGACAAGGCCAGTATGGAAGTCAAGGTTATGGACAATCTCAAGGCCATGGCAATCAGAGCTACGGAAGTCAGGGATATGGCAACCAGGGCCCTTCCCAAGGCTATGGGCAGTCCCAGGGCTATGGACAGTCTCAGGGTCATGGCAACCAGGGCTATGGAGACTCAGGCTACGGCAACCAAGGTCCTCCTCAGAGCTACGGACAATCTCAGGGTTACGGGCAGCCTCAAAGCCACGGACAGCCCCAAGGTTACGGGCAGTCCCAAGGATATGCTAACCAAGGCTACGACAACCAGGGTCATGGCAATCAAGGCTACGGTTCCCAAGGCCCATCTCAAGGAGGTTATGACCGACCACCAAGCGGTGGCCGTCCACAAGGGGGAAAGCAATCTCACGGCGATGACCCCTCTCATGATTCTGCTGCTCAATATCTTCAGAGGCAGCAGGCAGTGAACCGATATCATTCATTTGCCTCAGAGTCGAAGGGCAACGTTAAGTGGTACGTCGATGGTGCTTCATACTTCTGGGCTGTCTCCCAAGCCCTTGAGCGTAAGTCACAGCAACCCATTTCCCCCCTGAATAATCACCTGACATGGCCAATCTAGAGGCACAGGAAAGTATTTACATTCTCGATTGGTGGCTGAGCCCTGAGCTTTATCTTCGCCGCCCCCCTGCTAAGAACGAACAATACCGTCTGGATCGAATGCTTCAACAAGCCGCACAGCGCGGCGTCCAGGTTTACATCATCGTCTATAAGGAGGTCGAAGCAGCTTTGACCCTCAATAGCAGACATACGAGGACTGCTCTTGAAGCGCTGCACAAGAATATCCATGTCTTCCGACACCCCGACCACTTGCCCACAGGTTACGACCTGCAGAGGGAATTGGGCAAGTCTATCAAGGCTCTGACCAACTTTGATCTTGCCAAAGCATCTGGAGATGCTATCAAGGCTGTCTATGGTACTGCTGATGGTGTTGTGCTGTACTGGGCGCATCATGAGAAGCTCCTCGTCATTGACAACGGCAAGATTGGGTTTATGGGAGGACTGGATATGTGTATGGACTTTCCTGTCTCACTCAGAACAAGAAATGCTAATTGAAACCTTTTAGGCTTTGGAAGATGGGACACAAATAGTAAGCTTGTGTTATATATAGGGAAGTTGTTGCTCACCATCTCGACTAGGTCACCCCATCGCCGACGCTCATCCCGGTAACTTGGATGCCATTGTCTTTCCTGGACAAGACTACAACAATGCCAGGTATGTCTTAGTTTCGACATAGAGTCAAGAATCATAGTAATAAGCTTCCGTAGAGTCTACGACTTTGCTGATGTTAAGGACTGGGATCAAAACAAGCGTAAGTTTTTCTATGAACTGCAGCATTCCTAAAGACATAACTCTAATTGATCCTAGTCGATCGAACTAAGAGCTCGAGAATGGGTTGGTCAGACGTTGCTCTGAGCATGAACGGGCCCATCACTCGTGACATGGTCGATCACTTTATCGACCGATGGTAAGTCGCCGCAACTTCTAATTTGTCTCTATGACCACTAACCATGCACAGGAACTTCATCTTCAAAGACAAGTACAAGGAGAAGAATCCCGGCAAGTATCACAAACTCGAGCTGCCCCCGCGAGACACCTCGGGTTCTGGAGATAGACGATCTAGAGGCGAGGACGATTACTTGGGTGGCCTAACACAGCAGTTTAGCCGTGGTATGGATAGACTGAGATCGTTTGGGGAACATGATGACACTCATCGTGACCGTGGGCACAGATCTGAAGGTCGTGGCGACATGCCTCACATCCAGATGATCCGAAGGTGAGTTCACTTGCCTCTACGTTATTCTATTTGGACAAAACTTGCTAATATGGTACAGTTGCGCTGAGTGGTCATCTGGCCACCCCCTTGAGCGTTCGATTCAGAACGCATACATCGACGCCATCAAGAACTCTAGATTCTACGTTTACATCGAGAACCAAGTAAGCATACTTAGTGTCTCTAAGTTTCACAAGCCTTTACTAACGAATCAGTTCTTCATCACTGCCACCGATGATAAGCAACGAGTTGTTAAGAACAAGATCGGTGCTGCGTTGGTAGAAAGAATTATTCGCGCTGACCATGAAGGAACACCCTTCCATGTCTGGGTTTTGATGCCGGCCGTCCCGGCCTTTGCAGGAGACTTACAGGACGAGGGAGCTCTGGGAACCAGAGCCATCATGGAGTTTCAATATGACTCGATCTCGCGTGGTGGGTACAGTATCATCGAGAAGCTTCAGAAGGCAGGTATCCGAGATACATCCAGATACATCGGATTCTACAACCTCCGAAACTTCGATCGAATCAATACTTCCAAGACAATGGCTGATGCCGAAGCTCGAACTGGTGTGTCGTACGAAGAGGCTCGAAAGGAGAGAGACCGAGAGTTGGGCGGTTACCCAGATGAGGGATCTGGAAGGGCAGCACGTGATCAGTACCAACAGAGTCGAGGCGACTTTTCAGGCTCACGAGGAGGTGACAACTATGAAAGTCGAGGCTATGGGGACCGATCTCAGCGAGATGATTACCGACAGGAGTCTCAGAGGGGCTACAACTCCCGACCAGACAGCAGACGCCAGGACGATGACTACAGTGGAGGTCACTCTGGGTCCAAATACAGACGCGATAGCGACAGCGACGATGACCGCCGAGGTGGTAGCCACGGAAGACGACGTGACAGTGACAGCGACGATGATCGCCGAGGCGACAAGTACGGGCGTCGACCAGCCCGAGATCCCTATGCCCACCCTGGAGCCGATCCTCGATTTGAGTCTAGACCCCAAGGATATTCTCAGCAGGGATATGGACGTGATGACGACTATCGCGGCTCCTCACAGCAAAGTTACAGCGGTCGGGGCGACTATGGGGAGCGGCCAGACGCAAGATATGGACGACCGGAGCGAAATCCCTATGAGCATCCCCAAGCTGACCCACGTTACAGTGGGAGACAGGGTTCTGATAGTTACGGCTCCCGCCGCGATGATCGTCCCCAGTATGGCGAACACTCAAGCTCTTCCCGGTACGACAGCCGGCCAGAACAGCGTTACTCGGGCCACTCTGAATCAAGATATGATGACCGGCCACAGCGACAAGAGCAGGGAGGCTACTCCCAGGGGGGTCACTCCCAAGGAGGTGGTGCAGATTCGTACCAGAGATACCAACAGGGGGCTAGCAAAGTTGGCGACAACACTCTCGACACTATCAGCTCCTGCTACATGGACAAAGGCCCTAGAGTCACTGATCTACGCTGGGATGGCAACCCTGAAGATGAAATTAACGCTTTTGTCTCTGAGGAGTTGTACATTCACAGCAAGCTTCTCATCGTCGATGACCAACTTGTTATTTGCGGCTCAGCCAACTTGAACGACCGCTCACAACTCGGCGACCACGACTCTGAGATCGCGGTTGTCATTGAGGACCCCACACCTGTAGAGTCATACATGAACGGGCGTCCCTACACGGCCTCCCGCTTCGCTGCTTCTCTGCGCCGCTTCCTTTTCCGCAAGCATCTCGGCCTTGTTCCCGATCAACGATGGGATCAACCAAACCGAAACTGGACACCCGTCGACCGAGACCCCAACGATTACGACTGGGGTTCTCCAGCCGATCATCTCGTCGTCGATCCGCTCAGCCCAGATTTCCAACGTCTCTGGACCAGCACTGCACGCGTGAACACCGAGACATTTGATCGAGCATTCCACCCTGTTCCCACCAACAGAGTTAGAACCTGGAAGGAATACGACACTTTCTTCTCTCAGTACTTCATCATCCCTGGTAAGAAAGACCAGGATGTCAAGGCGGAGCTTAAGAAGGGCAAGGTTGAGTATGGTCACATTGTGAAGTCTGAGTTCCCTGGTGGTGTGAGGGAGGTCAGGGAGTGGTTGTCACGAATCCGTGGTACACTCGTCGAGATGCCTCTTGATTTCTTGGTTGACGCCGGAGATATCGCTAAGGAAGGCTTGACCTTGAACAATCTCACGAATGAGCTCTACACTTGATCGAGGCTAGGGTAGGAGTATTTGGACACAAAGGAGGTAAACGCTTGGAACTGCTTCTTTATATCTTTCTTCGCTTAAAGGTCAATATTAGACATGGACGAAGCTTCAAGAGTTATATGACATACCAGCGTGATAGTTATTGGCATCTGTGAAGAGCTTCTCTTGTTCGGCGTCTCGTTCTTCTGTGGTAGCAATCCTTGACTGCCGTGGTGAGGTCATCGCCTGCGGTACCCAACACATCGGTGAGATGTTCGCGGATCAGATCATATGATTGTTCGGAACCAACAGCTGCAGCCAGGATGAATCACTTCTCAAGCTCTGCTTTGGGGTATCTGGGCTCTTTGACAGGCCTGTTGGGGTATGTCGCATGGTGAGTTTCTCTGAAGCTTTGCTTGGTAGCTTCGATATGCGCGAGAAGGCGTCCGCCGCCTGAGCGTTTGACAAGATCGGTGAACTCCTGCATAATTGGCGAGTTACTCTCTTGGCCATCCACGCTGATGGCAGCATAAGTTATAGCTTACACCGACTATTAATAGTCTCTTGATCCATTGTGCGATAACGCGTCCCCGAACTCATCCTTAGGGAGCATAAAACACTAAGCTTGCCTAAATTTAGGATATTGAAATAAACTTAGCAAAAGGTATCCCTAAAGCTTAGGCTAACTTACCCAAGTTTTGTTGCCTCCCCAAGCTCGCCTGCTGTTGAGTCAGTGTTCGTGGCGAGCGTTTTCACGCTGCTCATCCAAGAACCAGTGATCCATGTCTCTGATGAATCGATTGTATAAGAGAGTCTTTCAGAAGTCACTTTGACCCTAAGCGCTAGATCTGGTTGAGTATCTTTGATCTCCAAAGCAATGTCCTCGATATCGTCTGCGAGTTCTTCCATAGGGCCGCCAGAGATAACGGGTTGGCTAACGTCTTTGGTGATCATGATCTCGTTCTTGGTGGGACTATTCATCCAGTCACACTTGATGAACATCCTCATCTTAGTATACCAAAGCGTTGATTTGTCTCGGAACCTCTCTGGAACTAGAGGTGCAGTTCCCTTGGAAACCGCTGCCTCGATAGCATCGTATAATGACTCCGCTTCTACCCGCGGAAGGAGAACTTGTTGCTACCACTCCCGATGTTATTGGTAGAAGTTATTTGATGTGTACATAGTTGCGACGGTCGTTGTGATGGTCTCGTTCCGCGCGCGACGCTCCAGCTTTGTTGGTAAGTTTGGGAGAAGCGTATATGCTGCCGGGTTGCGCTCTCGACTTGCGACAGTCGTAAGACCTGTCATTGAGCAGTTAGGCCGGACCCCAACGCAAATGGCGCCGTTTACGTCAATTGCCATGCGTGTGTATTATAGAACGGATTCAGCTTTCAGGATCCGAACACCAGTTGCCCGACCATCCTTGCCAATGCGCTTGATAGCTCTAAGGGCAACGATAGCTATGGCTGTTGGTGCTGATAGTGTCCAGACAGCCATCTGAATTCCATTTTGATAAGCTGAAAGCAGGTATAGACCATACCAGGCCTCATGAAGCAAGGAAACCTAAGACTTGAAAAGAAGATGCTAAAATAAACTTAGCAAAGAGTCCCCTGAACTTAGACCAAATTGCCCAAATATTCTCATTATTTAGGGTCAAGGTCCTGGGCTTTCCTCCCTCCCCTAGACTGGTCCTTCTAGAAGCTGGCACTAAGACCCGTGTGATAGTAGTTGAAATACTCTCCAAGAGACACAGCGCCATGCTTTGACATCGACTAATGTTTTAGGTCGTACAACCATAGTGTAAAGTGTCTTATAAGAGTCGAGTATAGATGATGAGACAAGAAGCAAGAGAAAATAGTGAAAATAAGGGGCACCTACATTGGCACGTTTCAAGCACGTAGGCACAGTTTGATCAAAGGTAGGACGGACCGTGATATATGTACGCAAGCGTGGTATTCCCGCATCAGTTCAATCAGTATACAGTGACACGCAATCTAAATAAATAGACATCAGACCCAAAACTCCGCAATTTACCAACACATGACTGACTATAGCAAGTCCTGTTGTGAACCCATTCCAATAACCCCTGTCGATTCGCATTGGCAAGTATCAGTCCAATTTTCCCTTCTCCCCTTTCCGCTCAACAGCACTGGTTTCACAGCCTGTAAGTCTAGTCAGACTTGTCGTTACCGTTCTGTCCTAGGAGACCATCCTTGAGACCAAGCGAGTCGTCCATACGGAAGAAAGTGCCGCGAGACCGTCTGGTACGGTTGCGGATCCACGAGTAGAGACCAAAGCCAACGGCAATGACAAATCCCATTGACAGGAATGGGTGGTCGACAAAGTTCATCTTGATGTCGAAGAAGAACTTGGCCAAAGTACCGATAGTGTACTTGGGCGAGATTGGGTTGGGGCCATAGACGATCTTGTCAAGAGTGTCCATGATAGAGGTATGGCTAACCATGATCTGGTTACCGGTAGGGGTAGTGTCCCAGAATTGATGTCGCTGTCAATTTGTTAGTATAGTCAATCGCACAAGGGGTACTTAGAAATCTAACATCTTCCTCGTTGATGATGATGCGCTCACCATCTCGAACGTCGATGTTGTAGGTTGTGGCAATCCACCGCTGCCAGAAAATACCATCAACCCAAGCGAAGCCGACCTCCTTACGACGGGTAGAGTCCATATCGATCTTGATGGCCTTGGCATTACGAAGGGCACGCTGATCGTCACGGCTCTGAGCCTCCTCGATTCTCATCTGCTTAGCATCTCGGAGCTTCTTACGCTCCAGCTGGAATTCCTGCATCTGGCGGTCAACCCACTCGTTGGCCGCGTTCTTGAGTTCTGAGATGGAGATTTGTAGACGGTCCTCGTCATTGCGGTTCAGAATCGCAAGCACAACCAGCTTGTGGCTCATGATCTGCTTGGCGTTGATGGCAGTCATCTCAGGGACAAGCGGGAGCCAAGTAGACTTCATCCAGGAGACGAGGGAATCTACATCCCTCATCTCATCAGGAGTGATAGGGGTGTAGTAAGTGGCACGCCCCTCCCGCGAAACCAGAAGTCTGGGCCAAGTTGTGATCTTGAACCGAGAGCAAAGCTCAGTGTCACTTGTCTTTACAATCTTGCCACGTCCAATGAGGTTGAGCGGGAGGGCGTCCAGTGCCTTGAAGTCCTCGGTAGTAGTTGCATGGTCATAGAAGTAGACAAACAGAACCTCCTCGGTCTTCTCGAGCTCCTTAAAGCTCTCGGCATCAACATCAGTAACCCCACCAGCAACCTCAAGAGCACCCTCGGCGTATGCAACGAAATCACCAACTCCGCGGAGACCCTTGTATTCAGCCTTTTCGGTGCCTGTGACAAAATAGATGGTAGGGAATGCCTTGACGCCCATCTGTGTGCAAAGCTTGTGATCGGCCTCACAGTTGACCTCGCCAATGTTGAGCTTTCCTTGCATGTTCTTTGCTAACTGCTGCCATGTAGGGGCCATAGCCTTGCAGTGAGAGCACCAAGGCGCATAGAACTTGATGAACCAGGGATCCTTCGAGCTTGTGACCAACTTGTCGAAGTTTTCAGGAGTCAGAGGTACACTTGTGCCCTCCAAATTGTACTTGGGAGTGGTATCCTTGGGTTTGGTCTTCTTCAGCATCTGGCCTGTGGTGGGGACCTTCCAATCAGCGCCAAACGTGTTCTTGTTTTCGTCCTTAGCAGCAGCAGATTCCTCAGGCTTCTTCTCGGTTGATTCGGTTTTGTCAGATTTCTCTGCATCCTTGGGCAATTCTGTAATGTCGTCCAGAGACTTGCCCGCATTTTTACCAGCTGGCTCCTCAACCGGCTTTTCAGCAACGGCGTCAAGTGGCTTCTCGGCATTAACGGCGGGCTTTTCCACAGGAGCCTTAGCATCTCCCTGAGCTCCCTCGACCTTCTTCTCGGCGGCTGGTTCCTCAGCCTTGGGCGCAGGGTACACAGTATCACCAGGCTGGGGCAATTCCACGAGTGCAGGACGTCCTGGATGTGTTTTGGAGAGTGCATTCTCGACCGAGGTGGTCAGCGCTGTCATGTTCTTTATTCCTCGCAGCGTGTCGAACACCTTTCCATCTTCGTAAAGAATCGTCGTCGGGTATGACTGAATGTTGTGGTCCATGCAGAAATCATAGTAGGCAACACAATTGACAGTGCCGAATGCGAAATCGTAGTACTTTGTGAAAGTGTCGTCGGGGTTTTCGGTCGGGGGCTTCGAGGTGTAGTAAAATTCGTAGAGTGTCTGGAATGTTGGAGCGAATCTCGTGCAGTGCTTACAGTACGGACTGACAACGCATAAGCATATGGGTTACACTCTTACCCAACTAAACATACCTGTAATGCTTTACCATCCAGAACTTATTCTTCTTTGTTTCCTCCTCCCAGTTTGATGGTGTCAGCTCCTTGAATGGCGGTACTGATTTTCCGTTAAAAGTCGTAGGGTCGGTCACTGGGTTCCTCTCCTCTTCAGCCAGAGCTACAGCTGACAGCCCAGCGAGGATCGCAAGGGGCGAGAAGCGCATGTTGGGCTAGGGGCGCCAAGGTATTATGCGTATGGTAACTTGGGCTTATATTGCAGAGAGTGCACGTCGCAAACGATCCAAGTATATATCGAGGCCGTAACCGTATCAGAGAAGCAAGGTCGAACCAGATTAGGCAGTAGAGCGAGCAATTAGCGACTGGCGATCATATGGGGTGAGGCTGAGAAGCTGAAGGTGTGCGATACGGAAAAGAAGAACAAGGAAATGGCCAGAAAATCAATCACACAATCGCGCTCCCCAGGCGCGAATGGAGATGATGCTGATGAGGGGCAAAAAATGAGAATAGACAAGATAGGAAGAGGATAGATGATAAAGGAGGACAAAAGAGTCGCTATTCAGGAGGCGCATTCGATTCGAGAACACGTTCCGTATGGGAATTCGACGCCACGCCACAGGGATAGCTTAGTAGTTAGAGGGAGGGCCCTTGCTCAGCCACTCCACTCTAAATTGGGACACTTGCCTTTGTTTGGTTTGGGGTGTTTTTTGTTACAGGTGAGTTTAGAGATGATGGAGAATATGTCTATGATAACTGGTAGTTATTGCACTTTAAATTCACCAAGGGCAGTATTTGACAGACCACAAACAGCCCGAGGTGCACATTGCTCAGCGGAACAATATATAGGTACCCCGTTCACTATCTCTCCAACCTTTTCAGTGAGTGATTGGCGCTGACTGCCAAGAGCATAAGGTGTCCATCCCACTCACTCTGATCAACGACAAGGAAGGAAGAAGCCTAGACAGGTCAGACGCCAATGGAACTACATCCATCAGAGCAATCAAACTGAATCTCAACTTCTTCTCTTCCCAACTCAATCTTCGGTATCGAAAAAAACCTCGAATCGTCACATTAAGGTCTGTTTCACGTGCAAGAGATTTCTCCGAGATACACAGATCAATTTATTTCCCGACCTCGTACATACATGACGATTGCTTCACAAACACCTCCTCGACTGATCTCGAACTTCTCAACTAGTCCTTGTTGGCGCATCATATCAAAAAACTACCCGCAAATCAATCTCACGCCCTTATGCCAAGGTCTTCCTCCAGCCAGCCAACATCTACAGGTTCTTTCAGCAAAGCCCTACCACCAAAGTACCGCAATGAATCGTCCGGTCAAACGCCAGCGAATGGATGAGCCTGATGCTCAAACACCGGAGTCACTACAGCGTTCTGTAACCCCCCCTAAAAAGAGGGACAGGAAACCAACCGTCGTGAAGTCCCCATGGCAATTGACCTGGATCCGTGATCTCCCAGAGGGTGACAACCAAGATGCTGTGACTCTGAAGGACCTGCTCAGCGATCCTCTCATTTCAGAGTGTTGGGAGTTCAATTTCCTACACGATATCCCGTTTCTCATGGACTCTTTCGATCCCGACACACGCCACCTCGTCAAGGTGCACCTAGTGCACGGCTTCTGGAAGCGTGAAGATATGAATAGGATAGCG